TTTCATTTCAAGATCCTCAGTGTTCACCCTAAAGGAAAAATAGGAAGGTACAGTTCACTAAATAAATGACGTCAAGACTGAAACCATTCCTTAGGGACCCGTAATCCTAAACGTCAACCCATTTTTTTGAAATAGGTACTGAGTTGAGCGTCTTACTCAGGGGTAACGCCCACCTCTTTGTTCCCGAACTTACCGTGGTGTGGCATTGGTCTACGAATAGAAGGTCAATATTTGGTTGATCTCTGCTACAGGGCGTGAGATGAAGACCTTTCCCTGTTCATCAACATATATTAGATAATATAGAAATTTATTGTGCCCATAACATGTGACGATCTGAAACAAAGTGTTGTTATGTTTCCGCTCGACCGGTGAAGGACCATGCTCTCACAGAAAACCAGCGTAAAAGAGCAGCTTAATGCTGCTGTGCTTCGAATGGTGAGTGTAAAGATCCGAGATCCAGTTTTTGCTGGAAACGAGGCATTCCATCTCAGTCCGCAAGGGTGAAATCGCATCTCCATTGTGATTATTAATCGAGGATAGATGTCGAAGTAGATGGCCATGAGCCACAACATCCACTTACCATCAGGTGAACAGTGTGCTTGTTTGTTACCCCTATTCTATAAAAAAGTGAATTTTATTCCTCCGCCACTTCTCGACAAAAGGCACAGGCCGTAGACACCCCGACATTTATTTCCATTTTTTCTTTTTTGTAATTCAAATAAAATGAAACGACTTTACTGCGGAATACACTGAGCGTTGTATCGTAAATTACAGCCTGAAAGACAGGGCAAGATTAAATTTCAAATTCAAACGATGAAATTTATACATCTGCGTAATTTAGAAAATTTTGTCTTGAAATGTAGGCAATAATTTATGTGTATTACAGTACGTAACTAACCGAGCCATTGGAAAAAAAAAATAGTCATAGTCAGGTTACTAGGTTTCTCAGAGATGAAACCTATAAAAGATTAACTTGTAAAGTAAAACGTTATCGAAATATACAACGTCATACAAATGCTTAGTACTATTTCCAACATACTAAATCCCAGCCCATAACACTTCATTCTATTCTAAATCCGTTTCTATGGAAACTGTTAGGCTGTGTGACTCCCTACCTCTGCACATTAGAAGTGCGCAGTCTCTATTGAAAAGTTTAAAAAACTTGTCAAAGCGCACTTTTTTCCGCCTTAAATAGTCATTCCACTAAAAAATTACTATCTGATCATTTTTCTGACGTTAAACGCTTTTACTTCACTTACTTGTTTAACCTTTTCTGCTCTCGTATATGTTTGTATATATTTTTGTATTTAAAATGTATTTTTTAATTATAGTATGTATGTATTTATCGATTGTATAATTATATGTATGTCGTGTGTATTTTCCATCAACCTACGCACACCCTTACCATTTCTCACAGGTCACTTTATCCTCTGCAATGGTTGCCTGGTAGAGATCGCTTCTAGGCGATAAGGCCGCCAATTGTACCATTAAATAATTTATGTTTTTTTTTACTCTCTCATATATTTCATTCATTAATTCAAACCATGTATGGATACTTATAAACGTGTGTGTGAGTGTATTTAAGTAAGTTTGCACTCGTAATTGAATATACAGTGCATTTTTATTTGTTTTAATTCTCCGCGTAAAAGTGCGGTGAAATAAACAGTGGATTCTTCTTCATATTCATGATAAAAAACTAACTGCTTGATGTGAACCTATCTCTAATAATGGAATAGAACGCCTTCATCGCTATGCTGGATACAGTATACTTGTCATTCACTGTACTATACGTACCGTAGCTTCTGCTATTAGTCATCATCATCACAGTCTACTGCTGATTCTGGGCTTTTCCTGTTGTAGGGAGGATTTGCCATAATCACCACGTTTGGCAGGCGGATTGGCGATCGTAGCAACAGACATTTTGCACCTTTGACACTCCTTCTCTAAGTCTAAGTCTAGAGCTACAAGGTCTTCATAACATATGCCATAGCCGCCTTTTACTACAACCATCTGTCATATTAGGTGATGAATTCTCTTACGCCGTCACCACTAGGCATTTTGCTTCTGTTAGTATACAACGGACGTGACAAGCGATCTTACAGCCCACGTGATTGAAAGTGGCTACTGCAGTCCAGGGACACCTGCGGCCAAATTCAAACAAAGAATGCTATGGAAAAAAAAGATGGATTCCTTCACAGTCTGTATCTAAGTATAATTACAGACAGTGAAGAATTCAATTTGCCAGTAGGCTCTATATACCCTTCAGACTGAAACAAAGCAATATTATTTGCTTAATTAATTAAAGTGAGAACAGTTATCTGTAAATTATTAAATGTTAATAACATTATTTCGTGTGTTTCGGGAGGAGCTCATCTACATCAGAGTTGGAAGCATGGCTGTAAGTGGCCTAAATATCTATCGATTCAGCTTGTGTGGACGTTTCGCAATACTCGCTAATTTAAAAGTTATTTGTAGATTTAATGTTTTGTAATTTTAACGAGGATACTTAACGTTTAATAAACTCTATCGCACTAGGCTTAGAAGTTTTTAAGCATCCTATGCTTTACAGCTTATAAAGAGTAGTTAGTTTTTCCAATATGATTAAATTAATAGAATAAAACACATTAAATTGATACAGTGAGAAATTCATATATTAAAATATGCAATATAAATAAGCAACCCGCGTTCGATCCCAATTAAATTGTTAACTGCAATTTTAAGTGCTTATTTTTCACGTGCCCGGCGGTGAAAGAAAACATCGCGAGGAAAGCTGCATGTCTAAAAAATAAGAAAAAATATTTCGAAGACATATGAATTTCGACAACACGCATTGGGGCAGCGTGACGGCGATTTCCTTGACCCGAAAACCTTCTTAGAAATAGAAGGAGGTCTATGCCCAGCAGTAGGACGTATATAGGCTGTAACTTTAACTGATAGTCATGACGTGTGCGCGGTGTTCAGCTTCTTCAATTCCACTGCACGGTGACCTGCTGTAGCTTCAAGCGGTAGGCATAACGAGCTATCAAGTGTTTAAGTTTTACGTACGTAAGTGTTTTTATTATATTATATTTATATAATTCAGTTCACAATGGAGTTAGAGGCAAACAATTCTTTAGCTTTTCTAGATGTGTTAGTAATTCGGAATCCTGATAACACCTTGAGCCACACTGTGTATAGAAAAAAGACCCATACAGATAGAAATTTAAAAGGTGATTCTCACCACCATCCTTCACAGTTAGCTACCGTGTGTAAATCTTTGTTTCAGAGAGCACGAGGGATCAACACCTGGCCGCCGAGCTCAAACACGTCAAGCAAGTTTTGAACGACAATAAGCTTCGGGTCCCGCGCCTACGTCACAGTGAACGAGTGAAGCCGGCCACAGTCGAGCGAGTGCCTGCTGTACTGCCATATGTCAGAGGTGTCACTGACAAGATTGGCTACATCTTGAAGCGTGCTTTCATTAAAACATACTTCAAGCCGCCGAAGAAGATTAGTCAGTTTTTACCATCAGTCAAGTGTAATATTCCTCTGCAAGATGCAGGAGTGCACAAGCTGGATTGTGAATGTGGTCTCTCTTATATAGGACAAAATAAAAGATCCATAAAAACGTTAAAAGCGTTAAAGAACACATAGCTGATGTGAAGAATAGACGCTCTGGGAAGTCTGCAGACTGTGAACATGTACAGTATCGCCCCCGTCACTACATTAGATTTGATAGACCACAAATCCTCGCTAAAGAACACCGATTCCTTCCAAGGATGATTCGCGGGGCTATTGAAATCAAAAAACATCCTAATTTCAATAGAGAAGATGGCTGGGTGCTACCATCTGCTTGGGATCCCATAATTAATAAAATTAAATCCTAACCCAAGCATACAACTGCAAGACTTCATGATACTGTAAGTTCATACTGTGTAAAAATTAATAATTTTTAATCAGGAGGTAGCCGTGGTTAACTATGACATTGGGACGTCATACACCCCAGTCCGCCCCCCGTGACCATGGGTGCTGTAAAGTGCTTGAAACGTCGGGAATGTAAAATAAGTTAATATACGCGATAAAATCCGTAAAATTAGTTTTATTTAAATGTTTTTATTATATTTGTTGAACAATATTTATTTGTATAGTGTATATCTGAATATTCATTTTCATTTCAGATACAGAAATGTACGTATTGCTAAGAAAAATATTATGTTTAGGCCAAGGAAACGTAAAACTTCTTTGTACGTAGAAAAAATGTTCCAGTGATTGTCAGTTATTTCGTAAGTCACATTTTCTATAGTTTAGATTGTTTCAGATAGGCCAAAAAAAAAATATATGAAATATTATGAGAATGAGTTATGAAAATATATATTTATAGGTATTTATAATAATATGTATTTATAGGTATAGCCCCGTGTAGTGGCGGATTAGAATACCCACTACCCCATGTCTTCCTGTGGGTTTCGTTAGAGGCGACAGAGGGAAACTGATGCAGAAGATGGGCAGAAGCATATTTCTGATAACAGCAAATTACAATCAAAAAACTGCGCTTGCCTATCCGCTCGCCAAGCGTGGCATCTATTTCAATATACTCCTCATGACAGAAGTTACAAAAAGACGGCCCTCAGCACCTGGCGGCCCCGCTATGCCTGGCTGCGGTGGCGACCATTGTAACGGCGGGGCAGGGGGTGCTATGAATCTTATTTATTTATTTATTTATTTACACTTCATACAACATGATGTATAGGCGGACTTAATGCCTGAGGCATTCTCTACCAGTCAACCTTTGGGTGATGCAGAGATAAAAATAAGAAGTAGGTGTGTGAAACGCTAAAAGACAAGAAAATAAATTAAAGTATATAAATATAAAACAAATATAATACATATACCCATACATAAACTTACAAATCAAAAATTGTTTAATATATGCATAGTATTATATATAAGTTATGTACATAAAATAATAAATTACATACAATATATAATTACATATTTATATAAATACATATAAATGAATGCTACAAATGAGATGATTCTGCCAGTTTATTAAAGTAATGTTCACGAATTTTCTTCTTGAATGCATAACGATTATCAGCCGTTCTAATTTCAAGAGGGAGTGCGTTCCAGAGGTGAACAGACTGTACAGTGAAGGAAGAATGTAGGAAGCCAGATTTATGAGAGGGACACTTTAGTAAAAGGTTGTTCGAAGAACGCAGGTTTCTGTCATGGCTAGAGCAAAGGTACTGGAAATGAGAAGTTAAGTAAGAGGGGGGAGTAGGAGACATCAGAATGGAGTATAGGGTTGTGAGTGCGCGCACACTTCGTCGCTGACGAATGGGAAGCCACTTAAGTTGGGAACGATAAGTAGACACATGGTCATACTTACGAAGATTAAAAATGAATCGAATGCAGTTATTAAGAAGACGATCATATTTGTCAAGAAGATCTGCATTCAGGTCAAAATAACACACATCACAGTAATCAATCAGGGGAAGAATTAAAGATTGCACAAGTAATGTTTTGTTCCCGGATGGAAGGAAATTTTTCAGACGGTAAAGAGCCCATAAGGTACCGGTGACTTTCTGGCTAACATTTGTCACTTGGGCATGCCAGCTCAAAGTGGAGTCAATGTTTAAGCCAAGATCCTTAACCGAAGAACATAATCCCAAAACAGAACCGTTGAAAATGATCGCGGGAAGAGCTGTAGTGTCTACTTTTTTAATTGTGCGATGGCTACCTAGTATTATTGCTTGACACTTGGATGGATTAACACTTAAACCGAACCTGTCAGACCAGCTCTTAATATGCTCTAGGTCCTTGTTGACCATATCCACTGCGACGGACAAACAATCCACATTCGCCTGTGCGTACAACTGTAGGTCATCGGCATATAGATGATACGCACACTGGAGGTTGTGGGTGATAAGATTAATAAATACTGAAAATAACAATGGAGACAGAATACCGCCTTGAGGGACACCAGCATTTATGTCACACCAGCTTGATGCAGACTCACCAATGCGGACTGACTGCTGACGTCCCCGAAGATAAGTTGAAAACCAGTCCAGTGCTTCGGAAGAAATCATGGAATGGGAAAGGATAGAAAGTAGGATGTCATGGCTGATGGTATTGAAGGCGTTCGAAAAGTCAACCAAAGCCAGTACAGTGACTTTGGTGTCCTCCATGCCCGCCCTAATGTCATCAGTGACCTTAAGAAGAGCGGAAACAGTGCTGTGACCGGGCCTGAAGCCAGACTGAAAAGGGCTTAATAAATTGTTCTTATAAACAAACAGAGATAGTTGCCTATGTACACAGGCTTCAAGTATTTTGGATAGGAAAGGAAGAATGGATATAGGTCTGAAGTGATTGGGTAAAGTCGGATTGGAAGTTTTCGGCAAGGGAATAATGTGGGCCATGCGCCACAACGACGGGAAAACTCCGGAATTTAGGGAGAAGTTTATGATATGGGAAATAACTGGAAGAATATGGTCAAGGATATAAATGATCATACGGCGGCTGATGTTATCGCAACCCACAGCGTTTGACTTAATGGAAAGTATTATCTTTTTAATTTCATCCGAAGCAACTGGAGAAAAATGGAAGGGATCAATATCTAGACAAGGTAAGCCATTTAAGTAATCAACAGTGTGACACTTGGTTTGGTGATCCAGAGGAGTATGAGAAACAAGATGTCTGTTAATATCATCCAAACCAAGTGTCCCCTGAAACTCAAAATGTGGCTGTTTACCGATTCCGAGAGTCCTAAGGAACTTCCAAATATCGGCAGAGGAAGAGGAAATTATGTTATCAAGAATATATCGGCGTTTAGCGTTACGTATCATCTGATTACACCGATTCCTAGCAGCTTTATAGAGGTTCCATCTCTCTTCACTCCGCTCTCTTCTAAAACGTTGAAAAGCCCGGTCACTACGCGTCATGGCTATGCGAACACCTCTCGTCATCCATGGAGCATGTGGTCGCTTGACTTTCACCCTCTTGACTGGTGCATGTACATCATAAAGCTTAAGAATAGTATCATTAAACGCACTGACTTTCTCGTCCACAGTAGAGGCGCCCACCACACTGTCCCATTTTAATTTAGACGCATCTAAACACAACTCTTCTAAATCCATACGACCAAAACATCGCATGTGCAGGATTTTAGGCAGCAATTTAGGAGGTTTTCGGACATAAGAAAGAAAAATGAGGTCATGATGGGAGAAGCCAGAAGCAAGGTGTTGACCATGGGAGGACACGAGGGTAGGGGAAGATGTAAGGATTAAGTCAAGCCAAGTGTCATTTCCATCAGTATTGTGATGAGTGGCTTGTAACGGAAGGATGTGGAGACCAACCGACTCGACAATATGAAGGAGTTTAGAAGAACGGGGTGAGGTAGGAACCAAGAGGTCAGTATTGAAGTCGCCCATGATTATGTGATGCGTGTATTCCGTCCCTAAAGATTCCAGAGTCGTTTCGAGACTGGAGAAGTAATCAACAGAAGGGGGACAATAAACAACACCGAGAACCAGTTTTGTTCCCTTAACACATACCTCGAGAAAAAGGAACTCTGCAGAGGTGGAATAGGAGGGTGAGGAGGAGGCTAAGATTTTGTAAGAAAAGTCACAGCGGAGATATATAGCAACACCACCCCCTCTTCTGTCCACACGATCATTGCGTATCAGAGTAAAGCCAGAGAGAGGATAAGTGGTCGAAAGAAGATGAGGTTTGAACCAACTCTCATAAATCAAAACAGCATGAACGTTAGCATTCGAAAAAGCTTCAATAAGGTCGCTGTAGTGACAGGGTACGCTTTGTGCATTGACATGACACACGTTCAACGAAGAGTACGCCTGATTAAACGTATGCCGCACGAAATCGCCAAGCGTATCACTTGCAGAACAAAAACTATTGTTATTAGACGATGTGACAGATTCATTGGCAGAAAAAAAAGAATCATCATCAGAAGCCATTAATATAAAAATAATACAATAAATATTATGTATATATATATAAGCAATATAAAATATTTGCAATAAATAATAAACTATATATATAAATATATCTGATTAAAAAAATATGTGCAACACTGCTATGTCTGCACCACCCGCCAGCTGGCACACACACACACATTGGCGGAAAGTTCACTATACAAATAGACATAGAATAAATTAAACATAAGAAAAACCTAATTAACACTTAAAATTAAAAATAATACATTATGCAAATTACAAAGAAAATTCCTGAGTGAAACTATCTTCAAGTATCAAATTTACCAGCTTAACAACTAATCTATGATAAGTATCTTAATGAATTTGACAATAAAATTTTAGTTGGTTAGTACCTATTACATACCTCAAGAAGTTAATACTAATACTAACAATAACAAACATTGTTCATGTTATATCATAAGCAAATAGTTTAAATTAATATAGTAGGTCACTGATAATACACATTAAAAAAAATTAAAACAAAAAGAAAACAATGTTAGTTAAGTCTGACAGTAATTGCAGATTTGTTAACTTAATATCAGATATAATTTGAACTATCATGTGGACTATCATGTGTAGCTCTGATAAAACCACAAGGTAAAGTACAAAAACAACAATAAGCAGAAAGTGAGAAGAACATACCTAAGACTAAAATATTAATAAAATAAGCCTTTAGACTAAAAAATATAAGTACTCAAAGTTAAGAACATATTATTATGAGAAAAAAAAATACAGATATTATTGACTTATGAGGAAAACTTATCTTATCATCAAGTTTAAGACTTTGAATTTTGATCAGCAGCTATTATTTGCGAAACTTAGAATTCAAGCCCGATTCTCCCTCAATACTGGTGATGCTTTTAATTTTATCTGAAGATACCGTTGCTGCCTTAGGATATTTCAGTGTAAGAGAGTGCAGCTCATCCATTGTAGTTATCCTGTACCTGGTCCCATCAGCAGCTTGAACCACTATTATGCCATCCTGAGTCCAGCATGCTCTCATACCAAATTGCAACCGAGCTTTGCCAAAAACAGTCTGTCGTGCCTTTGTCAGAAACTCTTTCACTGAGACAGAAGATCCTTTAAGCCGGGATTTGGCCCTCCACACAGATAATCTGGATTCAACACTAGCAAACCTTACGAGGATTGGCCGATGATGGTCTTTATTGGCTACTCCAATTCTATGACAAGCACGAATAGAAGTTTCTGTTATGTCACTCAGTTTCATCTTGTGGATTGTGTTTAGTACAGCAGCCTTGCAGTCCTCCTTATCCACTTCGGCGATTCCCAAGAAAATGAGGGCCTTACGTCGTTGTCTCGTGTCAATGACGTCAACCATGCGGGAGCACTCATTAATTTGCTTGCGAAGCAGACCTAGCATGGAGAACATCAGTTCTCGGAAGGTCCGGAACTCCTCTGCCACCTTTGCAACAGTATCCTTTGCCGGTCCCACAGACTGTAGCTGTGCTTCCAGTTCGGACATTCTCTTAGAGAAGCATTCCTCCAGGCTATTTTGTGCGGTTTTAATTTCCTCAATTTGAGACATTGTATAGTGCCCAATTAAGTAACAATGTGTTAATAAAACTCAAATATGTAATATAAGTGCACTGTGCTGGCAGGTGGTGTATATAATAAGAATCACTTTACATGTACACTGTTGAATTTACGTAAGTACTGTATATTTATGGACTCAAGCACTCAAAAATTATAAAATTTACAGTAAATTATTATTTAATTTAATTTAAAATGAGATCTCATAGCGCAAATATGTGTTAACTTTTTATTCACCTACCGCCGAAAAAAAGCACAACAAAACACACCGTATAGTGGATATACGGTGTTAATGGGAAACTTCAACGCAAAACTAGGCACAAGCGAGAAGGGCATGCTGAGAGTAGTGAAATTTGGAATAGGAGAACGGAACCCAGAAGGCCAGCAGCCGACCGACTTCATGGAGAAAGAGGGACTCTTTATGATGAACTCTTTCTTTCAGAAGCGGCCTCACAGGAAGTGGACCTGGTTAAGCCCCGACGGTTCGATAAAAACTGAGATTGACTTCATTATGCCGACAAGGTGGCAACTGTTCAGTGATGTCACAGTGATTGCGAGGGTGAAAACTGGTAGTAATCACCGAATAATAAGAGGCACACTGAACCTAAACGTTAAGTTCGAGAGGTGTCGTCTAATAAATTCAACGCTCCGTCCCCCTCGTGCTCTAATCCAGAGTCCCGAAACCTTTCTGCTCGAGTTACAAAACCGTTTTCAGTGCCTAGAAGACTGCAATGAAGTGAACGATATGAATGACAAGCTCGTGGAAACTGTCCATGCGGTCGGAGCTAAATTTTGTAAGATCCGCCACAGAAGAACACAAAAACTATCCGATCGCACTCTTGGATGTTAGACGGGAAATGAAGCTGCAGTCTTCAGTGGATTTTACAGTATAGAGGTAACTGAATAGTTAGATCTACAAGTGGATGCGGCGGGACTTACGCAACTTTAATACCGCTCGTATTGTGATGAAGCGATCGAGCGAAACTAGGGCTCCAAAGTCTTTGCCAGAGATCTATCTACCAGAAAGTGTCAACTGTCGAAGCTGATGACCAAATACGAGGGCACTGAAAATTTCGGGAATCAAGGAAGTGACACAACATTACTATTTAAAAATGTATTTATTGCTTTTCGATGTATTCTCTGCGAAATTTAACACATTTTTCCATACGATGGAACCAATCATTGAAGCAACCATTCTATTCGGATGTTGGGGTCTCCAAAATGGCCGTTATGTAGGCGTCCACAGCTTCTTCAGGTGATGAAAATCTCTGTCCACGCAATTTATTCTTTATTTTAGGGAAAGTATAGAAATCATTAAGGCTTAGGTCGGGGCTGTACGGCGGATGGTCTGTGATGTTTTCTTGCTCTAAAAACTCTTTTGTTCTGTGTGCGGTGTGAGAACTCGCATTGTCGTGATGGAGGATGATGCGGCGGTTGCAGTTCTCTTTACGGAGTTCAGAAACGACCTGTGGCAAACAAATGCTTGTCGGCGCCGTTGCGACAGCACCGACGGTGTTTGCGGGGAGTATGTGAAGTGCGGGGGGTTTCTCACCGCCACGCCTAAGACCGGCACTCGCCGATAGCTCGCGACCCGATCGCCACCAAATATTTTGTATTTTTCGTTCCTTTTAAATATACAATTTGCCTATCGTGTGAGTCGCCTATTTTATTCATGTTCCCTAAATGAACATAGTGGCGACCGTGATAAATTAAAATATCGAATTCCGATTTCGCCGCGTAATACGGTCCAAAGGTCGTAGCACTTACCCCGCGTTTACAACGTCGCGAACGCAAGTACTACGAGCTACGAGAACAAAGGAAGCCACGCCGATCTACTACATCAGCTAAGAAGATTATTAAATTGGCGTACCATCCCGAGTCCTAAGAACAACAAAGCGGTCAAGAAGAATTCATCTGGAGCGGAGAGAAGACAAGAGGACAGCTATTGAGAACCGGCCAAGCTGAGGTCCAGCGGAGTCTACGCGCCACATCAGCGGTTTTTGCCAACTAAAAGTGAGCCCGTTCCTATTATTTTACCTCTTCGTGTCCCACTATTCCTAAAAATTCTATTTGTGTGAACAGGGAAACAAGGAATCTAGTCCTATTTTTGTTGCCATACCCTACCTACCTATTCTTAAGCAACATCCTTTATATTCCTTGTCTATCTTATACCCTTTCTATATAAAACTGCTAATCTAAATAAACTATTCCTACTCAATAATCCTACCAAATAAAATACCTATTAAAACAATCCTAAAAGAATTACCTAGATAAACCTACCGACAATTTACATACCTAACGAGTTAAAATAACCTATTTACACCTATTTGCTTACCTATCAGCTAATTGTCTATCATTTCTTACTATTATTTAGCCGTATCATTTGCTAGGTAATCAGTGCTATTTTTCAAGCCGCCTATAATTTGCATTCATTGCGCCTATTTTACGACTTGAAAGTCTTCACTAGCATTTAATTAGTTGGTAGCCACTGTTAAATAGTTAGAATTTAAATAGCTGAACCTATTTCTTTAAACGTAAGCATACATATGTACATAGCTACGCAAAAATTTGAGCTTAACTCCTCAATGCAAGTAAATTCACTTCTCGCTATTCACTGTTAGCTGTTTATGCACGCAAATAAATTAGTCATCACTATAGCATAATCATTCGCTAAGCCCTATATTACGCTAATTAAACCATTATTTGCATAAATCAATTAAATTTACGATCAACCTTGCTTCCCGTTATTATTTTATGTACGGAGATATCTGCAAAGCATTCCAACAATCAATTTCAGCTACGGTGCAGCGGTCGCTCGAGACTATCATCGCATCCCGTGTCACTGCCAGCACTGCGGGCTCACGTCGTGGTACTGGACCGCGGGCGTCGCGCGTCATCAATCCCACCTTTCACCGCGCTTCTGCTGATTTTGAACCGGTTTCCGTCACAGCGGCCACGAAGCGAGGAACGTATTGTATGCAATTCTTATTTATTTGATTAGTACAGCGCATAACTAGTTGTTTTGATTGTCTGCGCGTTAACTTTGCTAGTATGGAGGCAAAGTACAAAACTCTTAATTTAAAACGCGCTTCAATTAGAGGCCGTGTTACGAAATTTAATAACCATTTAGAAGAATTAAAAGGTAAAAAGCTTACTCCTACGGAAGTTAGCGTGCTATCGCAGCGATTAGTTAAACTTGAGACTTTATTTGGCGAATTCGATAGCGTGCAAAATCAGATTGAAGCATTGGAGGAAAATAATTTAAGCTTAGAATTGGATACCAGAGAAGTTATCGAACAAGCTTTCCACAATTCGATCGCATTGGCTCAGGAAATTATTTCCGTAAGCAGTACGACAAAAAAGTCGTCGCTTCAGCATAGCAGTATTTACACAGCTGATGAAGATGATCACGAAGTTATCGGCTTTCGTTTACCAGTCATTAAAATTAATAAGTTTGATGGTACGTTCAACAAATGGTTGGAATTTCGTGATACTTTCAGTTCTCTGATACATAATAATACAAAAATAAAAAATATACACAAATTTCATTATTTAAATTCCTATCTAGAAGGTGAAGCTGCTCGTGTAATATGTAATTTAGAAGTTTGCGACAATAATTATCCTGAGGCATGGAGTCTTCTTTGTGAGCGTTTTAACAATATTCGTCAATTAGTAAATAATCATTTGAAGTCTTTGTTTAATATTGAGCCGTTGCGTGAGTCTGACAAGTCATTAAGATTTCTAGTAGACCACGTCACAAAAAACCTACGTGCTTTAAATACTTTAAAACAGCCAACTGATCATTGGGATACCCTGATCATATTCATAGTCTCAGCGAAATTAGACAGCAACACGCGTGTTAAATGGGAGGAGTACATTCAAGCTAATGTTAATGCTTCGGATATGCCTAGCCTAGATGATTTCATGACTTTTATTAAGGGCCGCGCTGAAGTTTTAGAGTCTGTTTATCGCAGTAAACAAGACAAAAAAATAAAGTCAAACCCGAATCACAATCAAGGCGTCAAACAAAATCTCGTTTCTCATACTAAGTCATTCGTTAGCGCTGAGCAGGGCGACTCATCAGCAACTGCCCCTCACAAGTGTATTTTCTGTGGTCAAGGTCATCGTAATTATGAGTGCTCACAATTTCAATCGAAATCTATTGATGATAGACTTTCATTAGTGTCCGAGCTAAAGTTGTGTCCCAACTGTTTGCGCAAAGGGCATAATACGCGCGCATGCAAGCTTCCAGGTACGTGCAAGATATGCAAAAAACGTCACAACACCTTTTTACACAAACCTACGGATTCTGATACCAATGTGGCAGTCACTAATGTTGCAGTCTCTGAGCCAGTTTCAATGTCAGCTGTTTCTGCTTCTGAGACACTACTATGTACGGCTTTGGTTGATATTTTTAATCCCAAAACAATCAATTACATTACCACTAAAGCTCTCTTAGACAACGGTAGTCAGTCTAGCTTTATTACAGAATCACTTAAATCAAAGTTAAATTTAACTTCTTCCACGTCTGATGTTAGGAATGTGGTCGGCATATGTAACACTATTGTCAAGCTTAATGCTGAACGTTGCAATGTTCGAATTCATTCAAAGGTAGGTTCTTTCAGCGTTATGACGTCATGTTTAGTCATACCCCAAATATCAGGTAAGATACCTAAGTCTCTTGTGTCTATTACACACCTTAACAAACAGTTCGACAGGCTCACAGTTGTCATCCAATTCTAACGCACATCTGTCATTATCCGCAAAGGTAGGCACTGCATCGTGTAGTGAACAAGGCGACGTATTGTTATCGACGGCATTAATTAAAGTTATAGGTAAGAATGGTTGTCCATAAATTGCTCGTGCTATTCTTGATAGTGGCAGTAACGCTTGTTTAATAACTGAAGAGTTATATCAAAGGCTAGGTTTGCCCGCTCAAAATGTAAATCAGTCGGTAGTCGGTATTAATAATGCTTCGGCACACATCAAGAAGATTTGTAAGGTATCGATAAAATCATTGAATGATAACTTCTCTAGTAATCTTCATTGTTTTGTCCTACCATCAATAACCCAAAATGTACCTACTAGATATGTTAATTTGTCAAACTTAAAAATTCCATCTAATATTTCTCTGGCAGATCCTAATTTTCACTCACCTGCTCCCGTTGACATGCTTATAGGTGCTGATGTCTTTTGGGACTTAATAGGAACGCAGAGATTAAAATTAGGGGACGGTCAGCCGATTCTTTGTGAAACTAGCTTAGGATGGTTAGTATCAGGTCCGATAGATTATAGATATGTAAAGAAAGGGGTTAACTTTATTAAATGTAATTTTACAAGAATATTTCAAGATGAGGCTAGTAAAGATTTAGATGAAGATATACAAAAACAATTAGTACGCTTCTGGCACCTCGAAGAGGTAAGCCCTGCGTCTCTTTATTCAAACGAAGAAAAATTATGCGAAGAACACTTTTTAAAAAACACCACGCGACTGGCAAATGGTCGATTTTGCGTGAGGATACCCTTAAAACATAATCCTGACGTATTAGGTGATTCTTGGCCACGAGCTAAAAAGTGTTTACTATCGCTAGAGCGCAGGTTAGCAGGTCAATCTCAGGTCTATGAAATGTATAAAGAATTTATGTCAGAGTATGAAAGTCTGGGTCATATGGAGAAATGTGAGAATGATAATTTACCACGTAAGATGCATTTTATACCACATCACGGTGTGCTTCGGGAAAGTAGTACTACTACTAAATTAAGAGTCGTTTTCAATGCTAGCAGTCCGACTTCTTCGGGTGTTTCCTTGAATAATATACAGATGGTAGGTCCCGTGGTACAGGACGACCTTTTGTCCATTCTTTTACGCTTTCGGCTACACAAATACGTTCTCACAGCTGATGTTGAGAAAATGTACCGGCAAATAGTCATTCATCCCGATGACCGCTATTTGCAACAAATTGTCTGGCGTGATAACCCTTCAGAACAGCTTCAAGCTTATCAACTTAACACCGTGACTTACGGCACCTCTAGTGCTCCCTTTTTGGCAACTAGGTGCCTCCAACAATTAGGCTTAGAGTGTACCGATGACAAGGTTGCTCAAGTGATCATTCACGATTTTTACGTTGATGACTTGCTAACGGGAGGGGATGATATTAACGAGGTTACAGATTTGCGCCGTAAAGTGACTTCCACACTTGCATCAGCTCATATGGTTTTGCGAAAGTGGAAGTCGAATGAATCTCAACTGGTTAGTGAAAATGATATTTCTCCGCTTGATTTGAATATTGGTGGCTTTGAACCGACTAAAACTTTAGGCCTTGGTTGGCAATCACATACTGACCAACTTTGTTTCCCTATAGGAGGGCTATTCTCAGGTAGAACAAAGCGTGATATGTTATCTGTGATTTCTCAGATTTTTGATCCACTAGGACTTCTATCTCCCTGTGTAATTAAGATGAAAATGCTTCTTCAACAGTTGTGGCTGCTCAAGCTGTCATGGGATGAGCAGTTGACGCCAGAAATCAGCAAGATGTGGGCTGAGATAATAGTCGATTTACCTAAATACTCTACGTATTCCACGTCGTGTTATTTGTGACTCACCTAGTTGGTTTGAATTTCATATTTTCTCGGACGCTTCTGAGCGAGCATATGGCGCCTGTTTATATGTGCGTAGTGTTAATGATCAGGGTGAGGTTTTAATTCAATTATTGATGGCGAAAAGTCGTGTCGCGCCGCTTAAACCTATAACAATCCCAAGACTGGAACTTTGTGGTGCACTTGTTGGAGCTCGCCTTTACCAAAAGGTTGTAGCATCGCTGAGACAACAGGCTAAGCGCACTTACTTTTGGACAGATTCGTCCATCGTGTTAGGATGGTTAAAGGTGTTACCTAGCAAGCTACAACCCTTTGTCAGAAATAGGGTTGCTGAAATATTAGAGAAGACTGGAAATTGCGAGTGGAGGCATGTCCCAACAGAGTGTAATCCGGCCGATCATATTTCTCGCGGTGTGAGTTGTAAGGATATTTCATCCATGAGTAAGTGGTGGTCAGGACCTGAATTTTTAAAGAAAGAGGTCTCTCACTGGCCTGCAAATTTCTTAAGTATTAATCACGAGTTGCCTGAGATTAAATCGTCAAATGTTATCCTCCACGGAATACTTCATTCTAGCAACAATGAAGATTTAGGTGGGAATAAATTAATTGAATTTAAACGCTTTTCTAAATATACTAGATTAAATCGGACCGTTGCTTATGTGCTGCGTTTTATTAATAATTGTAGAAAATTCCTATTCATGGTAGTCTGACCGAAACCTACAGCTGATTTTATGGCGTGATGCGGAGGACAAACCATTACAAACACTCAGGCTTAACACGGTCACCTACGGATTTGCTAGCGCTAGTTTCCTTGCCACCAGGTGTCTCTGGCAAGTGGGCGAGGAGTGTGACGATGACGTTATTAAGGCAGTCATACAGGAGGACATATATGTTGATGACTTACTAACTTCTAGCGATGATGAAGATCAATTACGGTCTATACAGAAATCAACACATGTGGCTCTTTCTATGGCTGGTTTTGACTTGCGTAAGTACCGATCCAACTTACCTTCTTTACTGCCTTCAGACGTTGTCCAGTCATCCGGCAACCTGACATTGAGTCAGTCTACAAATACGCTGGGCCTAGATTGGAGTCCTTCGACCGACAGCATTAATTTTCCCATTACAGTGGATCAGTCTGACGTCGTCACCAAGCGCACTATACTTTCTTCAACTTTCAAGATCTTCGATCCCTTGGGCTTCCTATCCTTGTCCACTATCGTTCCCAAAATTTTAATTCAGACCTTATGTTCTCTCAAATTGGACTGGGATGAGCCCGCTCCAAAGGATATTGTCGATGTCTGGAGACCTTTTGTTGATGGACTTAAATGCCTTTTTTCACTAAATATACCTAGATGGGTATCAATAGAATATCCAGTCTCTGCTGAAATCCACTGTTTTTGCGATGCATCGCAACGCGCCTATGATGCATGCTTGTACCTTCGCTCTACAAATAAAGAAGGACAAATACATGTCCAACTTTTATGTGCGAAATCTCGCGTTGCCCCAGCATCCAGCCCTATTACAATTCCTCGTTTGGAGCTTTCAGGTGCTCTTCTGGCAGCTGAAATGAGCTCATCTGTGACCAAAGCCTTGCGACGTAAAATATCGCGTCATGTCTATTGGACTGACTCGAGCGTAGTTCTTAGTTGGTTGCGCTGCGGTTCTTCTAACTTGAAAGCATTCGTTGCCAACAGAGTCGCCGCCATTAGAGAGCTGACTGACGCAAATTCATGGCACCACGATCCTACAGAACACAACCCAGCTGACCTGCTATCCCGTGGCGTGAACCCACAACAGATCGCTGCATGTGATATGTGGTGGTATGGACCTAAGTTTTTATCGTTGCCAGAGTCCGAGTGGCCTTCTATGCAGTCGCAGACTATTATTGAGATGAAGAATTTGCCGGAAGTTAAAGCACATCCAGTTGCTATTTGTGATAATTATCAATCAATTATTAACTTTAACAAATATTCTAAATTAAAACAATTACAACACATTTTAGCCTATGTACATAGATTTATTAATAACTGTAAAAATTCTAAAACTAAAATTACAGGTTCCTTAACTACCGCCGAGCTCAATAAAACTCTTAATTCATTAGTGTATATTTCCCAATTAGAGGCATTCCCTAAAGAATACGACTTATTATTAAAAGGAAATTCCCTAAGTCCTAAGTCGCACATTTCGGCACTTAATCCATTTTTACATGAAGGAGTGATAAGAGTAGGTGGTCGAATTCAGGCTTCTGAATATAGTTTCGATATGAAGCATCCCATGTTGTTAAGCTCTAAACACCATTTTACTCAACTTTTATTCCAACAAGAACACGTACGGCTTCTACATCTGGGGCCCCAAGCCTTACTGGCTTCTATTAGAACGAGTTTTTGGCCCATTAGTGGAAGAAGTCTGGCTAGACGTACTGTGTATAATTGCACCGTATGTAGGGGTTTTAAGGGTCAGTCTATGAAAAACATAATGGGCAACCTACCTGCTCAAAGACTAATGCCCGACTTTCCTTTTATTACAGTAGGGACTGATTTCGCTGGGCCATTTATGGTCACGGATCGCAAAGGTCGTGGTTATAAAATTACAAAATGTTATTTGTGTATTTTCATATGTTTTAGGTATAAGTGCATCCATTTGGAGGCTGTTAGTGAGCTGTCCAAGGATGCTTTTATATTAACTTTGAGACGCTTTGTTTCACGGAGAGGGCTACCAAAGCAGATATTCTGCGACAATGGTGGAAACTTTGTAGCTGCTTCAAAGGAACTTAAAGAGTTTTTTGAAGTTAATGCCAAAACTATCGCTAATTTTGCCGCTAACGAAGGCGTTGAATTTTGTTTTTCGCCTGCATACGCTCCTCACTTCAATGGTTTGATGGAGGCCGGTGTAAAGTCAGCCAAATTCCACCTGGCTAGGATATTAGGGACTACGCACCTAACCTATGAGGAATTGTCATCTTTGTTCACACAAATAGAATGTATCCTAAATAGCCGCCCCCTATGTCCATTAAGTTCCTCTCCCACGGACTATTATCCCTTAACTCCGGGCCACTTTTTAATTGGTAGACCACTAAGCTCGCTGCCATCTCCGTGTCTACAATCCGCTAATGCCAATCGTCTCGACAGATTCCAGCGCATCGAGCAGTTTAAGCAACACTTTTGGCGACGCTGGAGCCACGAGTACATTGTGGAGCTGCAGTTGAGGACGAAGTGGCGCACGAAGTCCAAAGAGAGCCTACAAATTGACGACCTAGTCCTCTTGAAAGAGGAAAACGCTCCACCGCTCTATTGGCTTCTCGGACGTGTAAGAAAACTCTTCCCGGGATCTGACGGATTGACACGCGTCGCAGATTTAGACACTGCAAGAGGAATTGTGCGGCGCGCCCTAAACAGAATCGTCCTACTACCGAAGCCCGATGAGTTGGAAGATCTGTTACGCTTTCCACAGAAAGCTGTTAAGCTTTCCAGCGCCGGGAGTATGTCGGCGCCGTTACGACAGCACCGACGATGTTTGCGGGGAGTATGTGAAGTGCGGGGGGTTTCTCACCGCCACGCCTAAGACCGGCACTCGCCGATAGCTCGCGACCCGATCGCCACCAAATATTTTGTATTTTTCGTTCCTTTTAAATATACAATTTGCCTATCGTGTGAGTCGCCTATTTTATTCATGTTCCCTAAATGAACAATGCTAGCATACCATTCTGCATTAACCGTTCTTTGTCCCTCAAGAGGAATAGTCGAACATGGCCGGTTTTGGAGACAAACGTGGGCACCATTTTTTTGCAACACTCCGTGAACGAACCATTTTTGTTGGCTTTAACTCATTTTCGAACACCCAAACTCGTGACTGGTTTTTTGTTTCGGGTTCGTACACATATATCGAGGATTCGTCACCCAATACGATGTTGTATACAGCATTTGAGGATCCTGCGTGGAATCTTTCGAGAATTCTGACGCGCCAAGTAACGCGAGCCGCTTTTTGCTCTTCACAGAGCGAATGCGGTGTCCATCGGGAAAACAACTTTTTTACACCGAATTGTTCATGCAAGATTATTTGTATTTGACTCATGCCAATGTGTAAAGTTGCCTGAATTTCGCGGTATGTCACATGTCGATCTTCCTCAATCAGTTTACGCACAGCATCAACGTTTTCTTGGGTGACTGCAGTTTTTGGACCAGCTTGACGGGGATCATCACTGAGCTTGACACGTCCACGTTCAAATTCAGCAAACCAGCGATAAATTGTGGTTTTGGATGGGGCTTCATCAAAAAATGCAGAAATCATCCGGTCAACACACTGTTTTTGTGTTAAACCACTTCTAAAGTCATAATAAATCATCGCTCTTGAATTTTCTCGAGTCAATTCCATTTTCTCAACGACTAAACAAGTTTGACAAAACCTTGTGACAAGACCGAGAATCTTTTTTTAAATAAATAAATCGTATTCGACTTATTAAACCAAGTAATTTTCAATTAAAAAGATTTTAATATGACAGGAACAGTGGAAATATTCCATTCCCGATACTTTTAGAGCAGCATATGTATAGCAGCATTGTTTTTGGGACACTTGAAATTTTGAGTGAAATTGAGAGGTTCCATGGAAAGCTGTACACATCATCGTTGGAGCCACACGCAAGTGTGAGTAACGATCCGAGAGTAAGTCTTATGTGACACTATTCCGATGACGTCAGTCTGAGCGAGGTTAGAATGGCTTTCAAGCACCTTAAAAACGCAAGGCCACAGGCGAGGATGTAACCACATCAGAGCTTCTGAAAGCGGGTGGAAATTCGGTACTTGAAGTTCTTCAGAAGCTCTTTAATTCCGTCCTCTATGGTGGCACTAATCCGGAGTCATATAACGGAATAGCGGTGGTCTTGTTCTTCAACAAAGGCGACAATGCTCTCATAAAGAACTACAGACCGATTTCCCTTCCGAGCCGCGTCTACGTGCTGTTTGCGAGAGTCATTACGAATCGTCTCGCACGCTGAATCGACGA